AATAATATTTTTCACCTTCTTTGATAGGTGTAGCTTTACTGATGGAAGAGAAGAAAGGGAGCAGTTTCACCCTCCCCCTACTATAATATTCTGACTTGCATTGTTATTACTCCAGGTGGGTCTGGAAGCTGTAGAGTCAGAAATGGTTGCTGGAGAGAGGGAAAGATCCACAGCTATTGCATGGTCCTTGTGTGAATTGAACCTCATAGATGCAGCATGCCCTGCAGTAATTTGCAGGTGGAATTAATTAATGGTCACTGGATTGAGTCAGTAGTTTGAAATTATATTGCTTTTGTTAGGTGATGCTGCTAAGGTCTATTGTCAGCGAATACGCTCTTGGTTCAGAGATGATCTTGGCTATTGGAATTTGTGGACAGGCTGCTACTTTATCTAACTGTTCTGTACTCTAGGACTTCTTTCTGGACAGCATGCTAGTAAGACCTGTTTCAAATCCACCCATTGACTGAATCCAGCTTTGTTTGCTTATCCACAGCTTTGCTGTCTGCCACAGCCCTGAACTACCTTCTGTCCTTGGTGGCAATTGTCCTGTTTTACGTTTATTATACTCACCCAGATGGCTGTTCTGAAAATAAGGCATTCATCAGTGTCAACATGTTGCTGTGTATAGGAGCATCTGTCATGTCAATTTTGCCTAAAATTCAGGTATGACAATTGGTTTCAGTATTTGTTGGAGAACTGCCTTATATTTAAACTATTTTGTGAAATTTGTTGTTTATTTTTCTGTGTACTCTCTGCACATAGGAGTCGCAACCAAGATCTGGGTTGTTGCAGTCATCTGTGATCACAGTGTACACAATGTATCTAACCTGGGCAGCAATGACCAATGAGCCAGGTAAGATTTGACCTTGTAATATTTATTTACCTCATTTATACCTTGTATCTCTCCATGATGAAGTGGCTTATGGCATTCTCCCCTCCTTTGTTTACATAGTTCTGTAATTATGTGTGTATATTTGCACGGTGTGCAGGAACTGGTTTGGCTGATTCCCAAGCTTATTGTGCTCTGTTATGCTTTGGGGTGATGTGTTTCATGTTCATGGTTAAGATTACTACAGCCAAGACTTACTCATACCCTGGAGTTGACATAGGTCAGTTAGAGGGAGGTGGCATTTAATTCATTTCTTACCATATTGTATATCATATGAAGTCATATAATGGACTGGAGATATTTTATGGGTGTGTCTGCGGGTTACTTGTATGTAAAGTACCATCAAGTGACAGCTGACTTATGGAGACCCCATAGAATTTTTAAGGCAAGTGATTAAGCAGAGGTGGTTTACCATCACTGTCCTCTGCAAAGTCTTCTTTGGTGGTCTCCCACCCCATCTCCAGGGGTTACTTCATGTATTTTAAATTGTAATTTGTAAGCAGCCTTGAGCCACAAGGCGAGGTGGGATATGAGTATTTTTAAGTAAGTGAAACATTATGGCAGGGAACTCTTTATGATTTAACTGTACCTTTGCTCAAATAAAAGGTGAAAATAAAATTTCATTTCAGAGAATATTCTTTTTAAAAAGCTGTTGTACTTAAATGATAAGTCAAGGGTTGTCCTCCAGAGTTCCTAAGTATCAGCAGTGATCTAAAGGAGTCTGAGGAAACAAAAGGCTTTTCTGTAAGGTGTGCCCATTCCAGTAGTAGTCATTTTGCATAAATATTTATTTATTTGCTTCGTGTATACCCCCCTTCCCCCAAATGGGGACCCAAAGTGATTTACGTCACTCTCCTCTCTTGTTTTATCCTCACAACAAACCCGTGAGGTATGGTAGGCTGGCCCAGGGTAACCCAGCGTGACTGGCCCAAGGTAACCCAGCGAGCTTCTGTGGCTGACGCAGGCCTATCCAGACTAAGATCCCGACACCCAGCAATAAGATCTGCACAAATCCTGCAATCCCAATATTTTGATCTAGGGAGTGAACAGTTGTTAACATGGATGCAATGAGTTCCACCTGATACCCATAACCTGATAAAACACCAAGAGGCTTGCAGGATTTGACTTGCCACATAAAGTATGGAAGATTACTAATGTTGTGCAGATTTGTTTACATGGGGAAAAATACCAGGACCTGAATGTGATTATGATGCAGCCTGCCAAACTGTTTTCCATCTGTCACAGGAATGTGAGCTTCGTGCTTTCCAGGGAGATGTGGTGGAGCTCTTTGAACTCTCCCCAGCTGCAATTGAGTGGATTGAAAATTTAAATATTAGTATTTAGGGTGATTGCCCAGTTGGTCTGCATACCCATTGTATCAACTTGGTTTCATATTGTATATTATTTGCTTTTTGTGTGTAACTGCCATATGATAAATAATAATAGTCTAGCTCTTGTATACACACACACATACACACACATGATGGACACGGGTCGCTTCCCAACTCCCAGGCAGATTCCCCCCCCCCCCCCAAAAACTTATGCTGCCCCCAAGTAGCGTGTATTTCTTCTTTGTCTTAAAAGACTTGATTGTCTCACCCTTTGACAGATATATTTTGGCTTTGGACCCAGCACAGGAACTTGAGGGAAAAACAGGAGCCCCCTTGTCTTAAACCCTTTGAAATGGTACTTGAGACTGTATAACTTTTAAAACAGAATAAAGGAATTTTTATTTGACAGGCAGGGAATATATGTGTGTATGTATGTATATATATATATGTGTGTGTGTGTAATATGATATGAAGTCAAGGTTTAGAAATACTGAGGTAAGTTATATTTTGTACAGGAACGAATTCTTAAGACAAAGAAGAGTGTATTGTAGCTTATTTTCAGAGATTTCTAAATCTTTTCAGTGAGAGGTATTTTGTTTTTATTTCAGCAGTTTCAATATTACTTCACAGAGTTTCCTGGAGATTCGCTCTTAGAGAATCTTAACTTTTCCCCTTTTGAAAAACATAGTTTTCCACTAACTCGTGAGGTGTCTAAAGCTTATTCCCTTCACCACAGACCAGGGTTCTCCTCAGAGCGCAACCCATTTTCAACTGGCAGGAAGGAGTCTCTTCTCTCAGAAGAAGAACCTGTCTGACCAATCCTGTCAGAACTACTGACTCCAGCTGTCTTTCTCAGAAGCTGACTCACTGGAAAAGCCCTTTTCCTTCCAGTACACAGCTGATCATATACTTTCTCTCAGCTCATGCTCACCAATCAGAGAGCATGTAGAGCAGCCAATCAAACAAGCTCTCCACTTCAGGGAAGATTAGCTCCTGACCCCCCAGGCTGTCTGAACTAGCAGCATTTTAAAACCTGCTTTTTATGTGCAGTCCGTCACAGGTGCATTGCCTTTTTGATTGAAATGTTGTTATGCACTTTTCAGATGTTATACTTTTAAATGTTATACTTTCAACACACTAGTTTATCCTGAGGAGATACTGTTTGTTACCTTGGAACCACCCACATACTGTTATTGTTGGCACTCAAACTAACACCAATTCTCTGCCCCAATGATGTTTTGTTGCTTGTTTCCCCCCCCCCCCCTTTTTATTCATGCACAAGCTGATTGCCTTAGCATCACTGCAAGGTTCTCTTCTATATGTGTATGCCATTTTGAATGTACTGAAATTGCAAACTTGTTTCTGTCTTTCCCCACTCCTTTAAGGAAGTGCATCCTTGCAATGTCCAGTACTTAGATGCAGGCAGCACATGCCACTTGGAAACAAGCTTAACCCTCTTTAAGTTTAGATATATAGCTAGTGCTAATCAAGCACAACACAAAATCACCCCATGAGAGGTGGTCTTTGGTTGGAAGGACCTTACATATGTGTCTGTTTGCAGTTAGCTACCGAATGAGTAGCTCAATAATCACACCTTTAGGCTATCTGAAGATAGCATACAATTAAACTTTGTTGGTCTTAAAGGTGTTATTGAACTGAAACTTTGTTCTGCCTTAGGCTGTGTAAAAGTTAGCACCTACTGTTGCTGTATAACAATGTGAATATTATTTACATTGAATGACCTTAATTATCAGTTTTCATTTATTGCAAAAGCAGAATCATGCTCAGTTGAGATAAAAAGTATCAGCTAGAAATGTTCACTTTTCTGTTTTTTCTAACGCAGACAGACAATGCAATCCAAGCTTGCTGAACATAATTGGCTATAATTCGTCAAGCACTGCAAGCCAGGGCCAATTTGTCCATTGGTGGGATGCCCAAGGAATTGTGGGGCTCGTTCTGTTCTTACTGTGTGTACTGTACTCAAGGTGAGGAGAACATCTGGGAAGAAATTCTTACAGCTTCATTTGTTAGAAATGATTTAAATGGGCTTTCAATAACAGTGTCGTCTTTTCTGACTTCAGCATCCGGACATCCAACAACAGCCAAGTAAATAAACTGACACTGACTAGCGATGAATCAACACTGATAGAAGATGGACTACCCAGGAGTGAGGGCTCCCTTGATGATGGAGATGATTTCCACCGTGCTGTCGACAATGAGAGAGATGGAGTTACTTACAGTTATTCATTCTTTCACTTCATGCTTTTTCTTGCTTCACTTTACATAATGATGACTCTAACCAACTGGTATAGGTATGTAAATATTATGGGAAATTATGGCACACAAAAAAATTTGTCAGATTCTCAATGATGTTGGTTTCAATAGTGGTAATCACTTGTAAATTTAGGACTAGGCCAAATGACGGACTCAAGGTCTTGTCTTCCACTACTTTGGCATAATTAGAATTTTCTTCTTAATTTAGTTAAAGTAAAAAGTAACATTGACAGAAAAGAGGTTATTTTATCGGAAAGACTTACGTCCACCCCTCTTTTTCAGCCCTGATCCTGCTTCTGAGGAAATGACCAGTAAGTGGCCATCTGTCTGGGTGAAGATGTCTTCCAGCTGGATTGGCATTGTCCTCTACGTGTGGACTCTGATGGCTCCACTAGTTCTAACAAACCGAGACTTTGACTAAGCCAAGCACCTCATCTGCAGGAAGTTGTTTTGGTTGCTTACTTGAAGCTAACAGTATTCCTTACAAAGATGTAATTGTAAATATGTGTGTGTTGTGTTGTGTTCTATCGACGCATTTTACCCTGTCTTATTCTGCATGGTTACTTTATAATCATGTTAACCTGCCATTTCAGTGACTGTTGCTGATGATCACTACTAGGTTCACGGCCATGCTAAATGTGATGATGGCTGTTCTGAATGTTTCTTCTATTGTGTAGAAAGAGATGGGGGACTGTTGGGTTGGATCCTCAGCAGTAGGGCAGAGTTCTGCTTCCCTGTGTGCTCCCCCCTTGTAGGGAACAAATTGGAAGTCTTATAGCATGGGGGGGGGAATTGCCAAAAATCTCCCTCCTCTCCTTTGCTGTCAAAAAGCCATTCTATTGGAAGAGCTGCTGTGGTAATATAACAGCACCCAGGATCTTGGGCACTGTTTTACAAGTAAGTATAGAAGCCTCACTTGCCTACAGCTGATATCCTTGCAAACACTTTACTAGGTACTGGGCTTCAGTACTCAAAGTGACACTGGCTGAAAGAAGGGTTGCAAGGATGTAAACCAAGGGAGGGAGATGCCTTGGCTCACCTCACCGCACCTGCACACCCCTTTTGCTTTGAAAATGGGATTCCCCCATCCTGTCAGTCTAGGGGATTGGGTCAATTCTGAGTTTAATGCATGAAATGGCCATTGTCACATCTAGTTTGGATCTTACTGCAAAAATACTGTCAGCAGAAATTAAGAGTGATCTTTTTCATGAAACTCTTTTAGCCCCGTGAAAATACATTTCAGTTTTGTCAAAGTTTAGTGACAAAGAAGGCATTTTACCATGGTTCAAAAATATTCTTACTTTGAACTTGCGCCTGCAGTATTGTGCTTCCTTGTTCAGTACAATCCTCCCCTCCTTTTGGTAACCACAGGAGGACTAGGATCCACATATTGCAAGGAAGATTCTTTCCTTTTGGTGTTCTGAAGCATCCATTTTAAGGAAAGCACTCTGTAGGGCATTGCAGTTTAGCTCGGTTTGCAATGAAAGGCAGTGTTTTGGAGCACTGGTTTTTTTAATGAAGGCTTTACACTCCACAAAATGTCAATTTATGCTTTGAAAAATTAACTCTATAGAAATTTGGCTCAACTCTGCTACTCTTGTGCTGAGTGACTGATAATGAAAAGTAATTGAAAGCCAGATATTAGCTGCTATAATTAAATGGGGAACCAGTGTGTGTTGGAAAATTACAAGAAAGCTGGGGTTGCCTTTGACAATCCTCTTGGCCTTCTTTGATTTTGCAGGGTAATTTCAGTGCAGTTCACACATTCGTATTTGATCCTACCTTTGCCTTGCTGCCACAATCTTGTGACTGTGGTGTGTGCACTGGAAAGGTGAAGAAGTTAAGGCTATATGAGAGGAGTTGATTGGCTGCTAGGCTTTGAGGCGACTGGTTATTTTAGAGAGCCTGGGTTTAGGTCTGATGCTTGGAGGTGAGCAGATCATCTTCGTTTACAGCTCTGATCTGTGAAAGCTGGAAGCCTGAGCTGCTTCAGTGAACTAGATGCAGACTGGCACAAGAAAAGGAATGTCTAATCTAATAATGAGCCTTTGCTGAAAGAAAAGCGGCAGCAGTGGACTGTCTCTGATCTGGGAGGGCAAAAACGGTGACCTAGCTGCCACTTTCAAAAAAAATTGGGTTTAAAAAGCTGACTGAAAAAGGTTGTTTTGTTTTTTTTTAAATGGGAGTTTGTGGTTGCAAAGCTGAGTTGCATAGGGCCTTGTATTCTGTTGATGGTGCTGACTTCAGTGCCTCAGTACAGGGCTGGTATTATTGGGATGGAGAAATCGTTAAGTGTTTTTAAGGTTTCACTTCAGATTTTAACAACAGACACTCATGAGGTTTCTGGATGTGAGAAATAAATGCCATGTTAGTTTAAGAAAATGAAGTGTGTTGCAGTGTAATATTAGACCTATTAAAATGCATGGTGTATGCTTGTTCATTTTGATAGAATGCTTTTTAAAAACTTTACCAGTGCTTGAATGATTTAGCACAAGTGGTAATTGCAGTAATGGAGGCCTCAAATAAGTTAGTGGTATCCTATTGCAATAGAACACAGTCTTGGTGTCAGGATTTGATTTTTAGTATTTTTGCAAATGCATTATATAGATGCTTTTTATGCTATTCTAATCTTTGCTCCTTTAGGTGTGTTGTGTAGCTTAATTTGCAGTTATCTCCTCCTTTCAGAAACACTTCACTGAATAAGCTAATGTGATTTGTATTAGTTGCATTTAAAGGAATTGCCTTCTGTTGCTGTTTTCCACAAGGATGCTACTGGTTCTTCTGCTGCTTGACTATCATTGCTGGCACATGGGTTTATATTTGGGAGATCTTGTGTCTGCTAGATCTGTTTTGTATGATCTTAGTGTACTTGGAAAACTTAAATATGCTTTAACTGGAAATACAGTGATAGCTTATTCCAATTTAAGGTTGTCCAGTTGGAAGTGAACTGTATTTTAGTTTCTGCAGCATTCCTTATACTATTGTGCACTTATTGCTTATTAAATTTAATTCAGTTTATTCAAAACAGTTGTGATGTAAACTGACACAGATTAAGTTTAACACAAAAATGCAATTTGAAGGTAGATTTAATATTAAATGTGTAGTCAATGTATGCTGTACCAATCAATAAATGTTGAGATAAGTTATGTCTTCTCTCCTGCAGAATGAATCTAGTAAATGATGAAAGATTGTGGTACCACGGCTAGTAGCCACTATTAGACCTATCCTCCATGAATCTGTCTGATCCCCTTTTAAAATTGCCTGTGGCCATCAGAACTTCTTCTGGCAGTAAACCACATTTTAATCACTTGTATAAATATGTATTTCCTTTTGTTCCTCATGAATCTACTACTTATCACTTTCAATGGATATCACTGAATTCTACAATTAGAGAAAAAGTTTAGTCCAATTTCTCTACCCTATGCATTTTATAAAACTTTATGAAGTTCCCCTAACCAGCTGTCTGTTTTCTAAAGTGGGAAGCCCTAGACTCTTCAGCCTTTCCTCAAGAGGAAAAGTATTCCAACCCCCTAATCTGCTCACCCTTATTTATTCCTTCTCTCTGCTCCTGTCATTTAACAAATTTGTAATCCATATGAGGACCCATCTTATCTCATGGTGAGGCAGGAGTTCCTTTTCTAGAAGCCATGCTGATTTTCTGTCAGCAGGTTTTGTTCTATGTGCCTAATAATTCTGTTTTAATTTCTCTGGGACATATAGGCTAGTCTGAAATTTCCTGGTTCCCCTCTGGACACTTCTCCAAAACTCAGTGTAATATTTGCAACTTACACTTCTTTTGCCAACCCTGTGCTCTGTTCACATAAGGAAGCCTTTTAGGCATTCTTTTAGACTCAGCAGTGCCTTTCGTAACCTGGGTAATAAGTTTTAGCCTGGCTTCAATTAGTGCAGTTTTAAATAGCTTCCAAGCATCCTCTACAATTTGACTCGTTTCCCTTTCAGCTTCCTTTGAAGTATTCCCTTCATTTTTATAAAGTTCCCACTCTTGAAATCATATGTTAAAGTTTTAGACTTCAGGATAACTTAATAGCATTGTGGCCACTGTTCCCAACTGGTGCAACAACGAAGTCCAAGGTCACTACCCCATCATTGGCTCTCAATTGTTCCAGTACAGAGTCATTTATGATGTCTTGGAATCTCATTTCACACATTTACCCAGTTAATGTAACTGTAGTTGTTCAGAAAGTATCACAACATTCTCTCCTTTAATCACGTCTCTTATTTTCTTCCCCATATCAAAATTGGCTTCAGGGGTTTGATCAGGTGCATGAGATAGTACACCATCCATTTTTAAGTAATCTTTATGGGTATTTCCATCAATATCACTTTTGTTGGGGAGTTAATCCCCCTAATGTTTTGTAACACCTGATCTCTTTGGTATACAATGCAACACCTCCCAACATATCCCTTCCTACAGAGCTCATACCCAGAGATCACAATCTCACATATCCCACCATGTTTCTGACACAAAGCTACTATGGTCATTTAGCACCAAGCACTACTATTCCCCCATCTTAACTTAAAGGCATTTTAGACATCTGGATCGTTTGTCTCCATACATGACCATCTTTTTCCATTCTATTCTACTCCAAAGTTCTATTGTGATCCTTCCAATATTACACCACCATCCTTTTCCTTTCCCCCTCAATCAACCTTCCTACTTTTGGGGGGCTAGCTCCAAAATAGGTCTTACATGCACAACCATCTACTTTCCCTGCGTATGAAAAGACTGCTGGGTGAAGGGAAACAAAAAGATCCAACTGCAGAATGAATTCTGATCACCGGCTCCAAACCTTAATGGCTGTAAAACTGAAGATGTGTCAATGGCACACCATACTGTATTCTGGTCCCCTAACAGTTTTATTTAAACAAAGCTGCAAAAATAGAAAAACAAAGTACAGAAGAATAAAACTGGAGTGCTATATCATTCCTTCCCCCATTGTACACTAATGAATTACTTGAGTCATACATTAGGACCAAAAGCAAACAGAAACCGTAATAGGTTAATTGAGCATATTTGATTACCCAGTATATTCTGAATATGCTTAGTTCCAAATAGACAGCACTAGAAGTGTACTAATGTGACCAAACTGTAGGTTTGTATAAATGCTTAAACTGCTTTGACTGAACTTGTGTAAAAGTGACAGAATTAGCTGTTTTAGGTTCCACATTATATGCTCTCACAAAATTCCATTTACAAAAGATCTAAATAAATACTCTGTCTCAACACTTGTGTTAGTTGCTCAATAGTGGCATATCAGTGTCCATTGGCACAGGAGCAAGTTCACACAAATAAAACAGTGTAGCTTCACTGGCTTCTGCTTCTGTCAGCGGTTCTAGACGGACAAGTTTGCTTTGGGTTGGCTGAGGATCAAGACTGCTTTCCAGGAGTTCATCTACTTCTAATGGTTTATCTATAGAAGACGCCACTTCAGATGTGGGATTCGTACTCTCTATCGTCGAGCTGGGATTTCCATCAAGAAATGCAAGAAGGGGGAAAGCAGTATACTGAATAAGTTGTTTATCTACAAAAAGAATAGAAAAAGCCAAAACAATTATTTGTCAAATATAATAATTTTTACAGCCAACCACCCCCACTACAATTCCTTGTCCAGACATGGTCCATTGCACCAAGTTGCCTGGTCCTGGTGAGTCCCCTGTCAGGGACAGGAAAGGGGATCAATGGGACAGATTGGGAAGCAAAATAAGCCCTGAAAAGGGTCCTGCCCCAAAACATCGTATCCCGGCGATTAAGATCTCAGAGGACATCCATTCTTAAAGATACAGGATGCTACTTCTCTTAATGGGGGGGGGGGGTAATCTACCACTATGTATGTATTTGCATATATATTTAGATTTTTCAGGTTTTTAGAATGATTTGTCTATTCCTGACTCCAATCTTTGCATTTCAGTATCCACAAATGGGGCTCTGTTAAGTATTAGAGATATACCTTCTATCTGGGCTGCAGTTAGTGTATACCAACCTGACTTCGGGTTAGAATCAGACACATCTTCATCAGCTGGGTGAGTGCCATTTGTCTTCATAGATTCAATTCCCTTTGTCTCCAACTATGGTATCAATACAGAAATCAGACTTCAGTAAGTCATTAAAAACGGACAACCAGCACAAATTCAAATCTGCAATGACTTTTAAGAGGTAGTTAACATACAAGGTATGTCTAAATGAATGAAACACGGTGATATGTCCAACTGCAATAATCCAATACTCAGAAGCTTATTTAGGAGTTAAGGCACAGAAGTACCCTTGTTTCCCACCCCCACTAAGTGTTTATTTCTTAGTCAAGAGACAGACTCAAATAAGGGGTGCATTAAAAATAACAGTTTCAAAATCAGCTCTCAATGTGTGCAGTGTTTCTCTGCTAACAGATCACACTTTGAAAAGCACTACTGATATGTAAAACTGTACAATGCTCCTACCAGAATGAACCAGTCTCCAGTATATAACATTAAAATTATTTAAATGCAGATGGGTAATTTTTTTCAAAACAAATTTCTAGCGCTGGAAAGCAGCATCAAACAGGTTGTCTGTAATATATTTCCTTGCTAAAACATACAAAAATACAGTAACATGCCGTTTTAACTGAGATAATTGAACACTGGCTCATTGCTGTGCTCTTCCCACTTACTTTTGTACTACTGATATGACCTGTAGGATTCATCTGCACGGAACTTGAAAAAAGCTGAAGACAAAGCACAAATTTCTGTATTATAGATCTGAACTTATAGTCCAATTACAACTTGATCTTTTATTCCTCAAAACACAAGACTGCAGACAACTGCAGATTAAGTACAAACCACCATTTTGCCAAAAATTCTTCTGAACTCTCAAGTTCACAGTTGTTAATTATACAGATAATCCTTGCAGGACAGAAGTTTAAAAATGCTAACATCTATACTTTCCATGAGAAAGGACTTTCAAAAGAAAAATCAGAAGCCAAAAGAAAATAGTGTAAATATTTACATCTACTAGAAGATCTGGGTCTATGCTGAACTGCCGTCCTGAGAGCATGGCCTGGAAATCCTCTAAACTGCAATCAATGCTCTCAAGGTAGTCGAGAAGCTCAACCCTGAGACAGTACAAGAAAACACCATAAGATTCCAGCATTAAGGAAGAATTGCACCAATGAATCAAAATAAGGTGCAGAATAGCAAGTCATCTTCGGGTTCTCAAATGTTATGATCAGGAACACAAACCGGGTACCTCTTTTCCCTTTAAAGCTGGTGATAAGAAATCCAAAACACTTTCCTAGCCCCATAAGTTGTACTCTAAAATTTCACACTTAAAATTGTGATCCCCACTCCCTGTTGGAAAGAAAAATATTTAAGACTACCTGCTCAGAAGGCAGCCATTAAGTATCTGAATACAGTTCTCATAGTGGAATATCAGACAGCTAGAAGATCCATGTTGATCATTAGAAGTGGGACACACTAATAGTGCTTTTATGCTTTTCACAACCCACACTATGTAGAAATTTGTCACTTTAAAAAAATTACAGCAAGTAGTGCAATTACTTTGAAATTACCTCTTACCACTGAATTCCAAACTGGAAATAACCCAAAAACAGATCAAAAGCCAACCCTCAAGTTACATGTTTCAGAAAATAATGTTAAAGTACAAACTACCTTGTGCAATTCACATTGAAATTCTTAATCAAGCACCACCATGAACTTTAGAACTTTAGAAATGTCAAGAAAATTACTCACTTTCCAAGCAGATTGATATTCTGTGAAATCACACCATTCTCACTGAGTATAGAATCCATCATTGAGACTGGGTCTTCTGCAGTTAAGGTTGACTGGCTGTTTAACTGCACAGCACTGGACATTAATGGGCTTGAACCATCAGTGGAAGGGCTGACAGAACCACTGGATGGAACGGATACTGATGCAGCACTTGTGTTTTCTTGAATTATAGGACCATAATCCTCCTCCTCATCATCTTCTACTATTACAATATCAGGATAATGGCTACAGCTGCAGTACAAAAGAAAAAGAGGTGAAGAAGCAATCAGTAAGCTTCTTCAGCCTGCTTCAAAGTACTGCCTTCTCTGAAGTTCAAGATACCCTAATAATAGATATTCCTTTCTTTGGAACAGGAAGACTAGACTTAAAATACACTTACTATTTACAGTGCAAGCCAAGTGTTCATGTATAGCGCATTAGTAATCCTCACAGTAACTCTGTAAGGATGCCAGCATTGTACACTCTTATATACAGCTGACAGTGACTTGTAAAAACACCAAGTGGCCATAGACAACTATAGTTTTGAACCAAGATCAGACTAGCTATCACTTGCGTTTGGTCACAATGCTTGTTTCCTGTGCTAGAATGACACTTCTGCTAGTGGAAGGTGTGTTTACTTTTCACTGTTTCCCTCATCATACTTCAGATCCCCATATCATCCCCTGTGCAGTTCCTGGGTACTCCTGAATCCCAGAGGAAATATTTCAAGAGGCATGATAAGTGCAGGAAACTTTTGTTCTATGACGAAAGTTCTCCTTGGAATACTCTGGCTCCAACCCACTGTGCTTTTGCAATAAATTGTTTAGAAACACATGCTGAACAGGTATTAGTAGTGAATAAGTAGTCATACTGCTGTATTCTACTCATGTTCATAAACCCCTACTCTTATCACCTATCATTCAGGCAATAACATGTTGCTGCTACTCCTTTACTTATATTCACTGTTAATTGCTGCGCTATACAGAACAGTGTACTAGAAATCTCTTTATGCTTGCTATAACAATAATGAAACATCCCAGGGAAATTTCTAATTTAACTAATATTAGTAAAAAGAACAGACCATGAGTCAAGTGATGGCAGCTATGAGTAGAAAAAAAGTATTACATAAAAATTAGGTTGATAGAGGATATAGTATCTGGTCTCCATTCAAACAAGGTGCATGAACTTATCATATAGTTGGAAGGGACCTACAGGGTCATCTAGTCCAACCCCCTGCACAATGCAGAAAATTCACAAATATCTCTCCTTCACACTCCCAGTGACCCTTGCTCCATGCTCAGAAAGGGGGGGGGGGAGAACAACCCTCCAGAATCCCTGGCCAAACTGACCTGGAGAAAAATTGCTTCCTGACCCCAAAGAGGCAATCAGCATTTATTTATTTATTTGTGCCCCACCCACCCCCACTAAGGTGGGGTCAGGGCAGCTTACATAAAATAACAATAAAACAGCAATATAACTATTAATATAGAACACACAACATAGTTATTAAAAACAATTTACATGATGATGATGGTACAGTTATGGTACATTATGGTACATGATGGTACATGATGAATGTACAGTCAGCGATAAATTCCACTATTAGCGGGCTCATGCTGGGAATAATATTGGCACAGGGCATAGGAGGTGAAATGCAGCTCATTACCTAAACACCGGGCAGAAGAGCTCTGTTTTCATGGCCCTGCAGAACTGTGAAAGGTCCCGCAGGGCACTGATCTCTTCCTGGGCATGTAAGAAAAGGGCCACAAAAACTAAGCACTGGTGCAACCCTTCCTGCCCTCCCTTGTGATCTACCTAAGTTCACAGAATCAACATTGTTGTCAGATGGCCATCTAGTCTCTGTTTATCCTAGTATTATGGAAGGAGACCTCACATACACACCTTTCCAATAACTGAATTCCTGACTCCATGCTACATATTTAAATGTAAGTTTATAACACCCCTTTTCTTGATCAGTTAAAGCCAGATTTTATGATAGACACACAAGCCAGTGAGGTTCAGCACTGTAAAACAGGATCCCAAATTTTACTGATAAAAAGCATCTCCAATGCGCAATTTCAACTATGCTTGAGTCCAGTGGCACCTTTAAGACCAACATTTTATTCCAGGTATAAGCTTTTGTGTGCACGCACACTTCTTCTGAACTTTGTTCTGCTGCCTCAGACCAACATGGCTACCTACCTGAATCTATTTTCATTTCAACTATGTATCTCTTCCTACTCCACTCCTATAGGAAGTTGTCTGTTGGTGATGATCCCCCTACCCCTATAATCATGCTAATGTCAGGGGACCCCTACTCTGACACCATCTCTGAAACAGTTTAAAATATGGCTCTTAGCACTTCACAGCCACATATCTAAATATGTGTAAAAGTAAGACTGGCCAACTTGCTCCCCCCACCCCCCTTAAGGCCTCAGTGAGACAGGCTCTATGATGTTGGCTTTTCCACCTCCTCTTCAACCAGGCTAAATTATCTTTGAAGATAGCTTAGAACATGCAGCAACGTGATTTTTCACCAGCATTAGTTACAAGATCATTCTACCTCAAACTTGAGAACTGTACTAACTTTCACCATGGTTCTGCACAAGATTTCAAAGACCTGGTAATTACCTATCTCTACACAGCTTTGAACCAGACTATCTGAAATGCCTGTCTTCCAGCTTGGATGATAGTCAGGGACTCTATTCTGTAAACTGCTACCAGCAGGAACAAATTAGATAAGCATCAGCAATAGGGTCTTCTTTACAATAGTACTCAGACTGTGGAAATCCCTTTTCACAAAGGATCTCTCTAGACTTTGTTTTTATGCTTTATTTCAGTAAGGCATGTATGGACACTTCTTACTTTGAATCTGAAGCCATGTCCTCACTGGTTTCTGGCGTAACTGGAGCTTTTTCTTCATCACCAACATCATCAGTGATATCATAAATAATAATATCATCTGATAACTGTTCTCTTTGCTTTAGGCTGTCTGCCCTGTTGAGTGGTACCTGCACAATCAACAGGAAGAAAAACAATTTCTTAGGAAGAGAACTCTTCAAATAGGCCTACTTCAAAGCAAATCAGAAACTGATTACAATGTAGCAAACTCATGGGTGGTATCATTCCATCCATCCTGATCACCCTCTCCATACTATCTGCACTTCTTTCCCTTCATGTGGCACCCCACAGCCTTTCCCTTTTCTCCCACTCACCCTAGTTTTTCTTTCTGATTCCTGGTCTTCAGCTTTACCTC